TTTACCCTTAAGCAATAGTATGCATTGTGTTTGTATAAAGAAAACATCTTATGTGATAAATAAAAAGCACTGTAAGCAGGTACTTGGTCTTCCTGCAAGTGAAACACACTCCTGCAGTACAACCATTTCAAGTTCGAGCTCTATTTCTGCCAAAGGGAGTGTGAAACGTCTGTGATTTCTTCACTTGGAGGTACAGTAATACTTCTGGCATCTGTTCCTTAAGGATCTGCAGGCTGGAAGTGAGTGCAAGCAAAACTGTCCCCTTCGGTGGGCCTCTTTTTTTTTTTTTTTTTTTTTTTCCTTAAGCAGCTGGCAGAGTTAGTCTGGTCCTGCAGGATGAGTGTGAATTACCGCCCCTCTGTGCCAGTGAACAGAACAACCGCATTTAAAGGTTGTACAACAAAAAAAATATTAAGAACAATGCATTTTAGCCACCTTTGAACTGGTTCCTGAGGAGGACTGAAACATTGCTTTCAATTAACAAACGTTATTTAGAACCAAACTGAAGCAGGCTTTCAGCTCACAGTCAGGATGTGTGTGGTTTTGGTATGACATCCATCTGAGCACATGATGCTTGGTAAGTGCTGGAGCCTTGGTTATGATTCATTGGGGAGAAACATGGAAAACAATGTCTGTTTTTCAAGTGTTGGAGAAATGAATTTAAGGTTGGAATCACGTATAGTTTTGCTAAAATAAACCTGCAAGGAGCTTGAATACCTCTGCTAGAAGGGAAATAATGGGTGATGGGTATGGCTGACGTAATAGCGTCCCACTGCCTGATGTTTGCTCAGGTTCTCACCGATATTAATTGCTAGCTATTTTTAAAGCCAGCAGAGTTGCACTGGCATCTTCACCACTGACAGTGGAGTCCAGAATCTGCTGATTTTTAAGACAAAGTAGGGTCAGGGGATGGTGTAAAGCTGTTTAGGCAGTTGGATTTATTTGTAGTATATATTTTAAAGTTATTTTTCAAACATGGTCAAAAATCCTTCTTTGTAATTTTCTGCCCTTTATGTTTGAACTGAGATGCATCTCTATACTTGTTCAGTGCATGTGGAATTTTTAAGCTAATTGACTTTAGTGAAATAAAGTTATCTTCAAACATGATTCAGACAAAGCAACTAATATCGAAACAAGAATGACTTCTCTCAATAATAATAAAAAATTATAACAAAGTTTCAGTTTCTAATAGAAAATAATTTTTAAAGTTTTATTTTAAACTAAAATTCTTTAATAATGTGAAATTGATGAATACTCTGTAAATAATTGTATGTACAATTGTTTTACAAGTCGAGTCACATATCTGTAGGATTTGCTATTTATATTTAAATCGGAGGACTTGGAAGTGCTGGTATATTTTCACAAGGGCAAAGCCATAATGTTACTATTCTTCATGGTGCTGTAAAGTTTTCATCTGGGCTCAGAAAAAGTAGTATCTGATGTGGAAGTAGAAGCTTCAGGTATTTTCCATTTTTTGCCAAGAGTATATAGTCGAAGGTAGATGAATTGAGGAGAGGATTTCTGAGGAGTGGAGTATAAACAGTTCCCTGCCTGGAAGAGGAGTAGTTCTAATTTAAGAGGAGGGAATTACTTGCCTACAGAAAGGGCTAGGGTGGGGTCTGCTGAGATTACTGAGATAACTCAATAATTTTAGGTATCTTTAGGGAAGGTCTGCCTACTGTGCTCTGCTTCCTGGTGTCAGACTGAGCTCATTTCCCAGCTTCTTGGTCCCTTCTTCCAAAAACCTTTGCAGAAAAGTTTTGTTGGGTCTTTTTTTGAGTTGGTAGTTTCTGGGGTTTTTTTAGTTGTTTGGTTTTTGTGGGTCTGTGGGGTTTTTGGTTTTTGTTTTTTTGTTGTGTTTTTTTTTTTGTGTGTTTTTTTTTTTTTTTTTTTTTCAGCAAAACTACCAGTTCACCAATATTTAGGGCTAGGAGTTTTTGTTTAAAGTGAGGATGAGTGAAATAGGTGCTGTTGTGTAAAATGGAAAATTTCTTTTGCTTGGGAATTTCAGTAGGTTTGTTCATCGCTGGTCACTTGACAGCTGTGGTCCCGTGTCATCCCCCCCACCCAGTAAATGCAGCACTAGGTTGTTGAAATCAGAGTTCTAAGAAAAAAAACCCAAATAACCGGTGTAGCTACATTTTTTTTGTTTCATTTTACAGGTATTTTTGGAGGAGGAAACAAAGTTTTTCCTTTGAAAATCAGCTCATGCTTATTAAAACAAAATATAATCATTCTGAACAGCGATTTTTTTTTTTGTCTTTGAGGCAGTGAAAACTAGGAATCTGCTGGAGCTGTATGTGGTTTTGCAGCTTCCAAATGGTTATTTAAATTGTAGTAGACCAGATAATACTGAGTGGAAAAGTCAGATTTTGGCTTGCAGCCACCAAAGAGACTGCATTGCAGCAAGAAGAATGAGCCATCTCTACACAGCGTTGCCTTTATTGCTTGAACAATGATTTTAGCAATGTCTTTTCATGTTGTTATTTCCCAGGCTGTCTAATGGCTGTTGGCCAGGTACAAAAACAGTCTGCAAAGGCATACTATTTATGAAGTTCCATGCTTGCTTCCTAAGGGGTGGTGAAGGATTAGTTTGTTGTGCTCAGTAGCTGTTTCAGTGCTGTAATTCAAGATGAAGCTACTGTACTTTAAATATAGAGTCTGTTGTGCTGCCATTAAGTCACACATTTGCATCAGTCATTAGCTCAGAGCAATGCAATTCTAAATGTCTGTCTTCTGAATGCTGATACTGCAGAGCAGTCTTGTGAATTGAAATGATACCAAAGCTGGCAAAAGACGGAAATATAGCACTGTGAGAATGTATTTCCTGGTGGTTTGTGTGGTGCTTTATTGTGTCTCAATCTGGCCTATAAAGATTCACAAAACGCATGATTTTCAGAGAACGTCTTGAGCACCACCTGTGAAACTTTGAAGGTTAGATTTTTATGGTCAATTCAGCTAATCTGCAACTACTAATTTGTAATTAGTTAAAAGGGACAAGCAATGGGGCAGGGGGATGGCAGAGTGGGAGGATCGGAACAGTTACAAATTGCATTGTTATTCTGTTGGCTGTTCCCTCCCAAGCATGTCAGGGGAATTTGGCAAGGAGAATAAGCTGTGTCCGGAGGTTCTCAAGTCAATGGTTGCCTACTGTCATATTAACCCTAACTAGTACCATGATAAGTGAGTTGAGTTTTGATTCGGGCAGCGATAGCAGACTTCTCTACAACCAAGTGACTCTTGAGCAAACTGAAGAATAGCACTGAAGACCTGTGATTAGTTCAGCAAAGGTCCTGTTCCTGAGTACAGCAGAGATCTGGACCCTCATCTCAAGAAAGATTATAGTTTTTCTAGCTCTTACATGAGAGGGGCCACAAGGATGATAAAGGTATGGGAAGAGTGTTCATTTGAAAAAAATAATACTGTGGAGAAAAAACGTTGTTGAACAGTTGAACTCAGGAGCGGCATGAAGATGAGAAGCAGGGAGCAATGGCTTTGTCTCTCTCCTAATACAAGAACTAGGGCAACAGCAGACCAAGCTGTTAGATTTTAGGTTAAAAAGAAACAAAAAGAGCCTGTGAAGAAAAGGTACTGAACAAAGTATCTAGTTTAAACTGTGGAATCCATTGCCACAGGATGCTGGAGGCTGGAAGTTCAAGTGATCTCAAAAGGCGCTTCAGCAATTGCTGTGCAACACAGGGACCCCTCTCCGACTCCTGGGGCAGGAGCACACCAGAGCATCCTGCACCGCGCCTGGGTGGGTTAGATTCTTCCCGAGGCTTACCGGTGACAGGGAGAGGCTGCCAGCAGGCCTGCATGGCCACTGCGGCTCAGGGGCGTTCGGCGAACTGGTCCTGCCAAAACGATGTACACGTGTGCGTGTAACAGCGGGAGGGAGCGGTGGGGTGTTGGAGGATGAGTGTGGACACCAGTGCTGTTTTGATTTTACATGATACGGAGAAAGCAACTTCAAGGCAGAGTCTGTTTTTAACTACCATAAACCAACAAGTAACCGTTAGATAAATCTAAGTAATGATTTAATTTATATAAATCTGCAAGCATTTTTGTTGATAAACTTCGAGGTTCCTTATTTCCCTCTACTGGCAGGGCTTCCTCCCCCCACCCCCAGCTGTTAGCCTGCCTTTTCGAGAGAAGACAGAATGTATTTTCCATAGAACCAGCTTTCTCCTCTAGTGCTTTCCTATGTGAAAGATGGACTGAGTTTGCTTTTTGACACTGGGCGCTAGATCTTGCAGCGTGTTAACTCTTGTAATACTGGTCTGTCCCAGACTGCTCCTCGTACCCTCGCTTACCTAGGCAAGTGGTTATGAACGGCTGCCTTCACCAGCGTGAGTGAAGGACCTTTCCTTTGGTTCACTGCTTTGCCTTTAATGAGAATGATATTGCTGTCTGGAAACTGATACATAAGTACAAAATCAGTATTATTTTAATTGCAGTGAATGATAGGCTAATTATGTAAGTCCATCTACTGAGATTTACTGTTCAGGCGTCATTTGAAATGCCTCTTTTTAAAGAACAGTTGTGATTAAATTATTCTGAGACAAGTGCAGTGTAGTTTGCCTTTCCTTCATTTTCTGCTCTGAAAATTTTGCTTCCTGTCTTGATTCACTGAGTTTTGCTGATATCAACCGCATCTTTTGAGTAAAATAAACTTTTATTGGGCTTCAGCTTAATAGTATGTTAAATGAGGAGGCATCTGATCTTCACAAAGTTGTTACTTTAAGTCGGTGCATTTAGATAAGTATCTGAAGAAATTCTAGGCTGAAGAAAAATGCTGGTTGCCAGAGCTTGCAAATGTAAATCATTTGGCTTATCTTTGCAGGGAGGTGGCTGGATAGACCAGGGATACCTCACTGGGGAATTCTATACCAAGCAAAATGCATTGCCTTGTGTTTCTTAAAGGGATTTAATGTTGCATATCTCATTATAGCTTGTAACAATAGTAAAGTCCTTTGACCTTTTTTTTTTCTGTCATGTATTAGAAACAAGACTGCCAATGGAGATTACCGGAAGGAGCACAGAGAGAGGAGTCGCAGCCCAATAGAGAGGGCTGCAGCCCCAACAATGAGCCTTCATGCCAATCACATGTATGCCTCAATCCCAAGCTTGACTATGGATCAACCTCTAGCACTGACCAAAAACAGCATGGATGCAACCCGAACAGTTGGCATCACACCTACACTGACTTCTGTGGAACGGCAGCAGGTACTGGCTTCTAGGTTGACAAGAAACTCTGGGTGGTTGTAGGAATCCTTGCTGTTGACACAATGAAGACTTCCTACATGTAAGCAGAACGTATTGTGAATTACAATAGGTAGGCAGTACTATTCTTCAGGCAAAATGTATTTTAAAAATGCACCATGAATGTCACCGCTCGTTGTGTTTAATGTGACTAAATTGTTGATGTTTACACATATCTGTCTCAGATTTCTTGGCCTTCCTGCTTTTTCTGATGCTTTGCTAAGCTTGTGAATGCATGCATTTTTAATTGGGAATGCAAAGCCTGTGGTTGAGCGAAGCTCCAGTACCTGCTAGGCGACTGATGCAATTTGCAGGTAAAGTGGGTCTTCATCTGTGCTCCTCTTGGCGATCAGTGTGTGCTTCCCTCCCCTCTGTCCGGGACTGCTGAAGAAGAGCTGCGAGGCAGAAAGGGCAGAAGGGAGAATTTTGCACTGAATTTTCCAGGTGAAAGAAGCTGGAACGACCTTAGTTGGTTTAGCCAGCCAAAAGCATTTATTGTGGGTTCTGAGCAATGTCGTACCACTATTTCATAGTGACTTTTCCTAAAGCAAAATAATGATTTTTGATTATTTTATACTTTATTTCCATATGCTGGAGTGGGGTTTTTTTGTTGGGTTTGGTTTAGGCTGGTTGTCCGTTTTTTTTGACTTGCCATCTTGTACATTGTATTTGGTTTCCTTGAGTGCCATCTCTATGAGCCATCTCTATGCAGGTTATACAATAACAGTTTTCTTATGTTAGACTCACTTTTATCCCTCTCACAAGTGGAGAGACAAAGCAAGATAACTGAGTTCTGATGAGCTGCAGTGCTGAGAAGTTAAACTGGGCCATGTACCCAAGCTCTTCCTTCCTTCTGTGCTTCCTTCTTCCCCTACTGTGATGCCCTGCACAGGGTAAACACTTGGAATGGGTGATCTTTCAGAGGGTGGCGTTTTTCGTATGCAGTTTATGAAAGCTGCTTTTCACTGGAGCCGCATACTTTACATCTGCTGTGTAGGTTTTCATGGTGGTTGGCTATGTACACTAGCCTTTTACAGTTTGCTATGCCAAAACCGCCTAGCTTTACGCTACTGTTGCTGATGTCTTGCATCACTTGGCACGCAGATTGCCCAGTTATTGTTCTGTGCAGAACAATTCTTCTTTGCTCTCGGCGTTTGGTGATGATAGAGGAAGAAGGGACAGGCTTCCAGTGACGACACTGGTGCCCTTTGATAGTATTACCGCTGCATCTCAGCTTAGCAGCTAATTTACGCTCTTCTGTTTTGGCGTGTTTGACTCTGGCTGATTCCTGTTGCCCATTACCAGATTCCCCTCTCTCTTGTTATCTTTGACATTTTGCGCTAGATTACAGCGTATTTTCTTGGGAAAATAGGATGTTGAGGTAAGACCTTGCTAAGAGCATGGAGTAGAAATCATGCAAAATAAAAAGTGTATTGAAAATAAGAAACCCTAGTTTGATGATTTGTTCTTTTGGTTTTGTCTTTCAAACTTGAACATGTTGAATGTGATTTCATCTTAGTCTGTTTCTAGTAAAGAGGTGGGGAAAAAATACTTTCTTATTTTAGGCCGCGTAGGGTTATTCAGTTGCTGTAGTTGCTGTTACTAAATTCTCAGTTTATCTCAATATTTTCATATAAATATGTGTAGTCTGCTCAGTGCACCTGTACACACAGAACCATAGCGAGGATTCCGTAAGATGCCTTATCCTGCCCTCAGATCCTTTGTGGTGTTGGTGTGTGCATTCTTGAGACAAGCTTTTATTACCTGTCTCTCTCTGCTTTGCACCTCTTGCATGTCTAAAATACTCCTCTGAAGAGATAAGCATATATACACTTCTCAAAAACTGCTTCATAGATGCACAAAATCTTGACCCCTACAAAAAAGAAAAGAAATACTGCCACATGTGAACTGCTTACAGAAAAATCAAATCATTCTCTTTTTTTTCTTTATTTACTTTTTAAACTTTGCTGTGGGTGCAGTAAGATGTAAGTAACATTGTTCCCCTTGTGCCTCGACAAATAGCATTAAACCTCCCCTTGAAAGCTCATCTCTTTTACTGTGGTCTTGCTCTTACTCTGTCTAGACTAAAGTACCACCAAACAATGAAAACTCTTTCCTTCCTCATTTCCTTTGTATGCTGGTAGGTAAAGCAGTGAGTTTTGAGAGTGTAAAATGGACAAGAAATTAAAACTGTGTTAATTACATCAATTCTGTTAATCTTTTGGATGCTTAACAATTAGCTTGCATTGAGTATAGCAAAATGGACTCCTTGCATCATAAAATATACCAAAGAGGAAAAGTAAAAATATTCCAATACCCTTGTCATTGCCCTTCAGCCACCTGGAGAAACAGGGACATTTCTTTTCCTAAGGCCTTCTTCCAATGTAACATTTACACAGTAAACAACTGTAAGTGAATATTTTATGTTTACACTTTGTACAAAGTAGACATTGTGGAATTCAGATTATGTGAACAGGCGTTTGGGGGAATTTGCATGTGTTGAGAATGAAAAAGGATGATGTTTATTAAGTAGTACTAGAAAGGCAGATCAGTTACAACAGGAAAGTACTTGTGGTCAAGACTTGCTCAGGAACTCTTCGTATTTTACATCTGTGGTCTTAGTGTTTTGTGGCTGAAGCAGTACGGAATACAGAATTAGGCTACAAAAACTGAACTGACGAAACTGAACTGAACAAAAACTGACAAAGGATCACATTAAAACTTGATTAACACTAAGACGAAAAATACCTGCAAAATTTGTAAAGCCCTTCTGAGTCCTGGAATCACAAGGATATGTGGCCATAGCATGGAAGAAGTCTTTAATGAGTTGCCATTTAGTTCTGCATAGGTAATGTCTGTGAAGTTGAAACAGTCACTGTAAAATTGCTGTAATGCTTTCAATGATTTGCTTTTATACTGCCCTTCTTCTATATGGCCACTTGCCACTTAAATAACTAAGAACTATTATGGAAATGCAATGTGGGTTTTTTGTGTTTTAATTAGACAGAGAAAGAGTAGCTGAATATTTTGGGACGTAATATGCTTTATTGAATTGCACGGTTTATGGGTTATTTCACCGCTGGGATTCGGTTCAGTGCTTGTACATCTCAAGCGATTATGCAATGAACTGCTGCTAATACGGCTTTGGCCGATTGCCTTAGTGAGTGACAGGTTTCTTTTCTCTTCCATATTAGAACCGTCCATCCGTAATCACCTGTGCTTCGGCGAACAACCGGAACTGCAACCTCTCTCATTGCCCCATTGCTCACAGTGGCTGCGGTTCGGCAGTGCCTGCCTACAGAAGACCCTCTAGCAGTAAGTGACATGTCCGCACTCTTAACTGCCTGATTACAACTGGAGGAGAACAGCATCGTCTCACTAACCTTAACTGCGTAGGCACTGATGTATTAACAGGACTAAAAGAAGGTGAAAGGACAGACACCTCCTTGTATCCCGTCTGCCCAGAGACATGCTAGCACGGATCCCCCTGCAGTCTTTCTAACCCTATGGCAGAGTAGAAAGTACCAATTCAAAATTAGGGAGAGAGGTGTTCTTTTTTCTTGTTTTGAAAAGCTTCTTCGAAAAAGCCAAACACCCTATGCAGACAAATAAGTCATTATATTTATTTTAAGTCTAACTGCCAAACAGCAGATCCAACCATGCTCTTAGTTTAGGAGCTGTAGTTTCGCCAGTCTTTCAGTAGTCAGTAGCCTTTTATGACTCAGCTGCAGTCACAAAAATCTTTTCCTGCCGATACAAATACTCTTCCAAAGCACACACCCTCCACCTTTCTCTGCATGGATGGCACAAAAAGCTGTGGAGGGCAGTTGCTACAGCAACCGAAGCAGGGAGCTTTAGTGTTCTGCCTTCAGTGCAATTAGTACTTTTCATGAAATCTTTTCATGCAGTACTTGCTGGGAAATCTTGGGATGGTTCTCTTCACTTTTCCTCACTGTGCAAGCAGGGGAAAGCACAGCCCTTTCATTTCATGTCATATATCTGCTGATGCGCAGCTTTAACACACAGCATTTCCGAAAGTTCATGACAGTGAGGCTTCATCAACCAGAATGTGTCAGTCTAACAATACCCATGTGACATAGGTAGGAACCTAAAAGTCCGTAGTAAGGTGGTTATTATTATTATTATTACTATTATTTCTAAAAAAGATCAGTGTATTGTTGAAAACTAGAATTAGAAGCTGCAGCAAGACCCTAGAGGATATATTACACTCTTGGAGAAATCAGTAGTTTAGGGATCTGAGATGTTAGACGTTTTCTGGAAAACTGCTGCTTCTTGTCTAAGGAGAGCTGCTTTGTTGAGGCCCCAGCTGTAATTCCATGGGCTTGGGAACAGTGGTAAACATTTTCAGAAAAGATTTGTCTCTTGTTACTTGAAGAGGTCTTTGTGAATGACACTGACATTTATTTTACGATCAATCAAGCCCGTCTGCAGCTTGAAGGACAATGGCATGGATCCCAACAGGTTAAAGTTGTTTTTTGAAAGATAAATCTCATTTAGACTTGCAGATATTGTTTTTAAGTTGTAAACTGCAGCTCATTCATATTTAGTTTATTACTGTTATTGTTTGAAACCCGTCTTGTAAGGTTCTTTGTTCCTCTTGTAATAGTATTATATCATTTTAATGCCTGTAGTACCTAATGCAGAGGTAATGATTCATTTAGTTTTCTGACTGGCTCCTAGCACAAGTATGTAAAGTCAGATGAAACCCTGCAGTCAGCTTTTGGCATGCTGTAATTTAGAATGAGGTCTCCTCACGTCTGACTGGTATCAGCAGGCCTGGGAGCCGATTTCAAAGAACTGTTTCTGTCTTTCATTCTATTTAAGGCTAAATATAAGTTCTACGTGATTGTTTTGGGAGAGGGTTTCCATAGAACCAGAGCTGTAGCTGTTACTAGCCTGAGGGAGAATTATAATTACATCTAAAATGCTTACCTGTTGCAGGTCACAGAAATGCAAAAATAGTTAACTCCATTTGTTACTGTTTTTCATTTTAACTCCTTCCATCTTCTTCCCTGCCCCATTTACTAACAGTTCTATCATGATATAAAGAAGTCTTGCTTTATGCCGAGATGATAGGAAAACGGGGAGAAAATACAGGTTCTGAATCCAGGATTCTGCACTGAAATAACGCATCTTCTGCCTCCTTTCCCCGTCCAGCTACCACTGCCTGTGACCCAGTGGTGGAAGAGCACTTCCGCCGAAGCCTTGGCAAGAATTACAAGGAGCCTGAGCCAGTGGCAAACTCCGTGTCCATCACGGGATCAGTTGATGACCACTTTGCCAAAGCACTTGGGGATACATGGCTCCAGATTAAAGCTGCGAAGGACGGAGTCTCCAGCAGTCCCGAGTCTGCTTCCCGGCGGGGCCAGTCTTCCCCTTCCTCTCATATGGTCAATCATAATCACTCGCCCTCTGTAGTCTCATGAGGAGAGGACCGTTACGTTTGTGAAGTTGCATGGTTTGACTGAGCTTTGAACAGTGCTTAAAGTAGTGTCGGGGGAGGGGAGATTAGTTTTCAACACATGGTTTTGTGTACTCACTTTTTATTTGTAAAAGGGTGCCCTTCAAGATGATAGCAGGAACTATTTCATAAAGATTCATATGATGTAGCATCCTTTTTTTCCTGCCTCAATTACCAAAGAAACCTCTGATGCAAATCTGCTGCCCCTTTAAAAAAAAAAATGCACGCTAATCCACAAAAGCCATTACACTTAGTTGGTTGACCCAAATGCTTCTTGCTTTTATTAGCTTCTTGAGACTAGAATTTGTCTGGTTTGCTTATATTGCCTTGTTTTTTTGTTTTGGTTTTTTTTTTTTCCCTCTGTGAAGTAATTTTGTATGTATATACTTGAAAAGAACTGTCATGTATGATTTGCACTATTGGAGGAGGACTGAAGTTGCGTAGCAACTTTCCTGGAAGATGCTAATATTTTGAGGGCAAACTGCTGAAAAAAAGGGTTTAAGGATGACATTTCTATCAGTTCGATTTTTTTCTGAAAGCAAAACCGCTTTGGAAGGGGAAGTCTCATACAGGTTATAGGTCTTTCTCTCTTTAGATTTCAGGTGCTTAGTGCTTGCAACTGGACTGCATAATTTACAGAACACGGGCATTTTTTCCTGAACACTGCAGTTTGTTAGAATAGAGCTGAGGTTGGAGGGTTCAATAGTGCTTAACGATGCATGTTTTATGAAAAATAGCTGGTATCTATTAATGTATAGACAGTAAGAATCATAATACTTATTAGCTTTTCTTCAGAATTAGTTTATTTTTGTCAGTAACAATCCTAGATATACTTACTGCTGGTACAGTTGTACTCTATGATATTTGTATTTGATATTCACTTTAGTAGCAGCCAGCAAAAGAGGACAGCCTCGGGACAGGCCTCAAATGACGCAGTTTAGAGATAGAGGATGCGTGGTACAGGATGCTATTGCTTTGCGCACGAGTGAGTAATCGTTTCTGTCCGCAGCACCGGCTGCTTAGCAGGAATTTGCTTCCTCAAACTAAGTCTGTGTAATCCACCTTTTAGCTACCTGCAGAAACTGCTACCGTTACGTATCTTGGCTGGACAACAGATTGTTACAGTTTGTGAAATAGGATCTTTCATTTTTTTAGGCTTAGTCATAAACCTATGCCAAGTTGCAGCATACATTCCTCCAGTAGAAGACTTTATACAGGTATTACTGCATTTATTATCATTTGCTATATTAATAGCTACTAACTAGCAATTAGGCAATAGAGGCAGGCATAAACCCACAGCTGTGCTAGTACTAAGAGCTTCTCTTCTTCTTGTTAAGTGTAACTGCTCTCCCCCATACATTCCATCTTCCCCGTGCAGTTGCAGCTAGGGCTAGTTTTTATACTGGGTTACCTGAAATGATTGGTTCAGTGTAGAAAGTTAGAACTAGTTGGAAGATGAACTACACGTGATGTATTATGGACTATGTTACAGTATTGGGTCCATTGTGGCTTTTATTTTATGTTTTTGTTTTTGTTTAAAGTTAAGCTATTTAATTTGGAAAAGGCACAGGGTAGAACGAGATCGGGAGATTGGCTCTTACTCTTGTTGAGAAGGTGGCTGCTCAATTTTCTTTAAAAAAATTGAAAAAACAAACGAAAAAAAAAACACCTAAGCCCCCAGTTTTACACATTTCACTACCATCTTACTGGGTAGTCAACGCTTACTTGCTTTGGCATTCAGTACCCTACTCTCTGTAGGAAGATTGTTAAAAGAACACTTTTTTATATAGGTAACTTTAAGACCATCGTTACGCTGTGCGTAAAGAATGTACAGAGAAATTTGTAGGTATTTTTTGAGGAACAATTAATTTGTTAATGATATGTAGCTATTTAATTTTTCCCTTTCCTTTATTGTAATCATTCATTTTTTTTTGTTTGGAGAAAAAAGTTGATCTTTTTTTTGTTGTAGATTTGTCTGTAATACAGTAAAAGTGCAGGAACACAGTTATTCTATGAGGACACTGCATTAGCATTAATAGCCACTAGTTTGTTATTGCTACAGGCTACTGAGCATTGTAACAGTAAAATACTAATACTGTAGATGGACTCCGTGGAAAATGTGACTCCTCTATTTCTTTGTAAAACACAAATAAGATAATGTTTTTAAAGCTAATATTTTCAGTAATAGCTCTTTTACAAGGTTACATTTACTTATCTGCGATAGGTAAATGGATTTGAGGGCAATAAAGATGTAATGTGATAAGTCCAGTAAAACATGTATTAGACACAGTAATGTCATGAAAGCCAAAGGGTGGGGGGGAGGTGGAAGGAAACTAAATGGAACTTGCCATCACACGACGTGGTGAAGTTTCTTCACAGAGCCAGGTTATCTACAGTTCAGTTTGAAAGACTCTCTCTGTGTTTGTAAATCTGTAATATACCATTCTTTTGTGGCCTTGTTTCACCTGGAAAAAAAAAAGGTTTGGCAGGCCACTTTTTTTTTTTTTTTTGTACTTAAAAGTAGCCTTAAAGAACAATAAAGTGCTCTTAAATCACAGGTGTGTGCATACTCTTCTGGGAAATGGGTTTATGTACTTCAGGAGCAGGAAGCGGAAACAAACCACTGTTCGTGTCACCTTTTCCTTCTGAGGAAACCCGTCTCCTTTAGGACTGTTTATCCCAGTGAGTGAAGGGGCTGGCAGAGCTGTAGTCCGGTCCGGGGGATTTTATTTTCCCAACAAGTTCAGGAATTTGTCAAGAAGGAGCCTTTACAGCTCCGATGAGAACCTGCTGCTACCACAGCAGAGCTGGACAGCAACACCCCCAGCTGCAGGAGGCCAGCCCTGGCCCCTGAGCCCTTGCTTGCCCCATAGCGCTCTCCCTTCAGGGCGGAAGCAGCTGCTCTGCTTCCTAACGCAGCTCCCCAGCAGCAGCTCCAGAACCGTTACCCTTTCAGAAAATACCAGCTCGTCAAGCATTCTTGTACTGTTACGAAAAGACCAATGTCTTCGTTGTTTTGTTTTGTCTCTCAGCTTCTTCAGGTTTGAGCTGGAGAACAGAAATTATTCCCTAAAGATGACAGCTGTATTTCCAGGGTAGACATCCATGGCCTTGTGTTTTGGGTGAGCGGCACTTCAATACAAGATCATTCGTTCATTTGACAGGAGACGGTTCAGCCGTAGAAACAAGTGCTCTAATGACCTGATTTTGAGAAAGTTTGGTGAACCAGGCAACAGCCTTCAGAGGAATTTCAACATCGAATGTAGTAGAGGTGTCTCCAAAACTAAAAGAGGAGCCCCTAAAAATAGGGAGATACAAAGCTACGCTTGTATTAGAAGTGCCTAAGAGGTCTGAGGAGCAAAGTAGGCCTGACATGCATGTGCATTGTTAAAGGGCTATTTTGGGCGTCTGGGAGATGCCATGAGAAGACATGAAGAATGATCAGTTTCACACATCTGAAAAACATCCCTCTCTGAATACCAGTGGAAAGAAGCCTAAATACATCCTTTAAGAGCTCTTGGGAGGGAGGCCAACTACAACAAGCCTCACAGGCCTCTCAGTCTGCTTTCAGAGGGGAGCTGGTTTCCTTTTAGGAAAAAGTCATCCCTGCATCAACATTTTGGGGACTACACGAAACAGGACAAGCAGCATTGCTGTCTTTCAAAGTGGGTAACTTAGAGTGTTCGATTTTCTACACAGTCAAAGGAAAAAGTAAGTTTTTTCCTATCATATGATTTTTCTAATTAGCAGCAAGCAGTAGTTTTGCACAAAAGGGGAGCACCACAGCCTAGAAAAATTCAACCGTACCCCACACGTTTCATATTATTATTAAATCAAGTCAAGTCCTACACTGTTTGTAATGGCTTACCTTTTCTGGGAGCTCAATGAAAGGCAACTTCCAGCTATGCAGTTGTAACCTCACCCCTACACACACACACATTTTTTTTTTTGGCTATTTTAATTCAAACCAGAATTTTATTTTTAGAAAACAGACCTGACATCACAACTACACTACGGATTGAGTTCGGATCTTTCTGCATAGCTCAGTGAGTGAGTGACCTCTCCTGAATACAGTTTCTTTGTATTTCAAGCTGCTTTAGTTGCAAAAATGAACTTTACAACTATATGTAGAGGCCAGATAGGTAAACAGCGCTAGTTTGCCACACTGGCGGTACAACAGGAGTATATAACTGTGTTTAGGTACGCAGACAGTATGGCTGCATACTTGCTAAACCTGTCCTAACAGCGTCGCTGGTGAATGCCCACTGACCCTCTCCAGCAGATTGGGTTTACCCAGTAGGGCCAAAGGGCCCCCGCACAGTCCTTAGGTCCTTTAAAACTAAACCCACCCGAAGCAGCAAAGGGAGTCTGTAGACAGCACCGTGCTCGGTTTCGATCCCGCCAGGGCCTGTGCTGAATGGAGGCATATTGAAGTCAGATGGCTGTAGAGGTTCCTGCCACTGCTGCAGAGAACTCAGCAGGGAACTACTGCAGCTGTTCATGAAGCAGCTACACTACTGCACAGCGTAACTGAACCGTTAAGACTTTAAAACTGGCACATGCACAAAACTCAAAATTGTAACCAGTTCACCATCACAGACTGGAGCTGTAACTGCACCAGTTCGGAAGCTGCATCACAAGCAGCAGCCAAACTGTCACTGCAGCTGGGCTGAACGCTCCCAGAGGGGTGCAGGGGACCGCTGGGGGTGGGAACAAATCTAGCTGCTCCTAGGAGGCCAAATCAATCAACAGAGAAAAGATGTAAAATTGTCTTTCAGCCCCATTAGGAAACCTTTGTGCAGCAGCAGAGTTTGGTGCCCTCACTGCTTACGCTGTACTACTCACGGTACAAACGAGGTGATCTGCAGTGGCTGCGTGAATGAAGACTTCTCCAGTATCCAAACACCACACCAATACGTCATGTTGCTTAACGTGATACCCTGGCAAAACACATCAGAAGTATTTTAAATGTTATTTGTGTAAGAGCTCTACTCCCCAGAGTTGGCACACTTCTGCTTGGCTGAGGGGAACATTCACCACTATCTTTAGATCCTTCTTGAGGAACAGTGAAATAAGAAACCAGTCTGCATCTTCCTGATACACAGAAGCTTCCATTTCATCTGGCGTGGATACAGACCCAAGTACGTTACACACGCTGTCTCCAGCTCTTTCCCCTTAGCAGACAGTTACTACACAGCTGGATTATGTTGTGTGTTGAAGCACACTTTATCCCTGAAGGGCCCATTGCAGAACATAGACCAATTTATTAATTTTTTAATCTCTCCTGCAATGGGAACATTCTGCCCCTCTCTGTGGAACAGCTTATCTATCATATCTCAAGTGCAGGTCTTGGGTATAAGACAGCCAAGATCAATAATTTAATTGCTTATTTTTAAACTGCAGTTACATAGAGTTCCACAGCAGCTGCTTTGCTCTTCAGACAAAGCTCTCGTCTTTTCCCTCGCTGCACTCCTGTCACAGCAGACAAGGCAACGCCATTACGCGTCTCCAGAGGTACATGAGGGAGAGCTGCTCAGAGCGTGTGTGCGGTCTCAGGAGTACGTTCACCTCTGGTGGTAGAGAGGCTTTTTTACACCCAAGAGAGGTGCTGGGAGGTTCACGGGGGCAGCACTCCTCACCAAGAGTGACATTTAATACACGGCTGGGGTTGTTTTTTCTCCATCAGGAAGGCACAAGCCTTGTAAGACACCAGCAGACCTGGGTAGCTACGACTTACCTCCACAAGTGTGGCAAAACCAGGAATATAACCACAGTCCATGGCCTTCCCACTGGTGCTCAACCTTCAGTCTTAAAACCTTCTTGGTGGTAGTGAAGTTCCTGAGTGCATTCAAGTCTAATCCTGCCCAGCCATTGTCCTGGGGAGACGCTGTCACTAACCACCCATTTCTGTAGAAAAGGTAAGGGGAGAGCAAGTCACTGCATCCTTGATCTGAAGCCACAGACACCGCTTCTTTCTCCAATTCTCTAATCTCAGGTTTTCTCTGAGACATTAAATAGTTTACAGCACACTCAGGTGTCTTAACAACACCCTCAGCACGGGCTGAAAGCAAGCTGCAGAAGACAACTAAGTCCAGCGTAGAATAGCCATTGCAAAACCAGTGGTTAAATTGCAAGACAATAAACTAAACTTTATTTTTAATTAAAACTCCAGGGATGAATCTGGTCCTGGTACAATTTATTTGGCATAAAAATGGTAGAAGGAGCACCTTGCAGCAGCTGGGGATCTTCCATGGAGATCTGGAGCTTTTAGTTCAAAACTACACTTGGAATTCTTAAGTCTTCAGTCTTCCACAAAACAATTCTAATCGGGTGATGCACTTCCTCAGTGTTTGTCCATGTTTACTGTAGACTAACTGGTGAGCTCAGCATCAGGTTTGATTTTTATTTGCAGAAAAGTTTCACATTTTCCTGCTTAATGCTGCAAATCTGATCATCACATTTACAGAAACCCACAAATATACAAAGGCACGTTCCAGTGAGCAGAGCAGAGCACGACCTGCTCTGCTAGACTGCGAGTGGGACCCCTCTGCAGGCCACTCCGCACACCCTCCCACGGCCGAGACAGGGAAACCTCACCGTCTTGGGCAGAGCACTTGGCCTCTTTTCTGACATGCTCAATATTCCTGAACTTCACTCCCAGGATTTTCCCTCTCCTTGGGAACTTCCACACCAGTAAATACTGACTTAAAAGAGACCGCTCTTACTGGACCAGCATGGTAGCATTCACGAAAGGAACAAGGTGCTCCACTGAGACTATCATTAAAGCCTCCGTACATGGTTTATGCTTAACGTGGGCAACACTCAAAGAGAGGCAAAAGCAGCAGCTCTCCAGATCACCCCCTTTGAACGAGACCAACACCCTGAAGAGAGACACAGTGGGGACTGGTGCCAGAATGCCAGACCATTCCCAGCACAAGCTCCTCCTATGTTGCTCCTACTCTGGTGCTCCAAGTGGACAACTTCCTACCGAAGGCAGTCTCCATCCTCATCTGACAACAGCATCCCTAAGGAACATTAACTGGGAAATGCTCATCTTTTCCTTTGTGACACAATCAATCAGGAGCCCAATTCATCAGACAACAATGTGCTAACATAGGGGGTTTTATAGCTGCTAATTGCTGTATCACTTAAGCATTTAGACCCGATTGACATGCCTCTCTGTTAAGAATGGTTGGCATGGGATTAGTCATACACGGATATTCAGATTGACATGCCTTTATATTTTAACAGAGCTGGAAAAAACAGAATTTCTTTTTCTATAGGCTACTTTTAACTAATGACAACACAGTTACTGACTCCCAGTAAGAACACACTTCATTACACTCGCATGAGACAATTTCAATCTGGTTTTGCTTGTAGGCTAGCCAGTTACACTATTGCACTGTTCATTCTAATTTTACATTTTGTTTTGCTAAGCAGCAGCTTTCTTAAATGCCAAGGAGAACATCTGTCTTCTCTCCATCACAAAGAGACACAAAGGCATCTGTCAACATGAAGCTGTGTCAGTCACATGCCTGCTCCATTTAATAGTCAAAAAACTGCTTATCTTAAAACTGTTTACTCAGTTTGGGCAAATACTATACACGCAGAATATTTCTGATAGCGTCCTGCTATTCATGGTGGAATCAACGTTACTTTTTTAATCCCAGAAAACACAAAGCTCAAATCTCCTGCTTCCTGAAATATTAAGATAATGTGGGTCTAGTTGTATTAATGACATGTGGCTTCTGTGTTAAAATACCCACATGATATACCACTCCAATTATATTAGTTCTAGTTAGTGAAAACAAAGTATAAAAAAAGTACAGGATTTTTTGCCCAAATCTTTGCTCTTCACTGATCCACTGCCGTATTCTAAACTTTTTTTTTTTTTGGAGGGGGAAGTGGGGATGAAAATAATGGAAAGAACTAACAATACTTAGAGATTAAAGCAAGGGCCTTTCCTTTTCCTTTTCTTTCCAAGTGGCAAGTGCTTGGGCTCCTGCTAAGGCTACACAAAAGCTCAGACTATTAACTTCTTCAGAAGCAAATGCATGTATTCAAATAGTACCACAGATAATACAGCATTGTTATGGGCTTTACAGCTGCAGCAAAGTGCTTTTCTCTTACTTTCACTGACATACCTTTATTTAACTCGATGTTACTTTTATTCATCAAACATTTTCTCGTGTCATTAATAGTTACTGACACTGTTCTGCCTGCTAGAGCTTGTTGTTCTGTTTTATGTACTGGTAGGAACACATCTATTTTGAAAACAAAACCAAAGTAACAGAACCACAGAGCGTTAAAAACCCTTTAGATTAGGTCTTACCTCTTGACCCTCCTGACACACAAGCAGTCATCGATATCACCTTGGCTTCCCATCTCGCCACCGGGACATGGAGCCGCCGCAGCTCCCGTGGCTCTTGGGTAATTCCCTCAGCAGAGCCGTGGCTGCCCGTGGAGAGGCCACCTCTGAGGAACGCACATTTCCCAAGGGCAGGAGGAAACCCCCTGCTCCCTCCCGGCGTCCCCGGAGGGTGCCAGCCAGCTTCACCAGGGATCTCTTCACAGAGTGAACAATCCAAAGTAAGCAAGCTGCTTTCAAAAGTGACTATGAACTAGGACACAATTTAAACAGGCAAGAAAAAGACCTCAGGTAAAAACCTCCCACCACGAATCTGACTTCCCCTACCAATGAAAATGCTAGAAAGAAATTAACTGGAACAGGTATCTAATTGAAGGTGATGATCACTACTTCTCATTATTCAGAGTTGCTCAAATAAAGTCACCCTCTGTTGTGAAGGTCTTTTTTCTCTTAACGGTAACATTTCGGCACTTGCGTTTAAGTCTCTCCTTCCCAGTGGCTCTCATACCTCCCCTAGGAACTTGAAAATCAAGATTAAAAGAAGTCATTTCTTAACCTGCAGAGCCAATTTAGGAAAGTAACAACTGAAACCAGTAAACCTATTTCTTCAAAAGTAAGCAATATTCTCATTTTTTCAGGCCTACGCATGTACCTAATTTACCTTGTGCTTTGAGAAAGCCTGGATGATCTATCAGGAAAGCAGAATTAGCTAGTCCAGAGGAAAATAATATATAAGAGCATGCAAGACATTTTCTTTATTGTAATAAAGACGTGGCTGTGAGTACAGGGTAAGAAAAGGGCTCAGAATGATCAACCATATAAATGTAAAATGCACTTCAACTTTTAAAAACTGCACTATAGATGTTGTCTAAAATGTACTATTTCAGCATTCTTTGTTTTGAACCACTCCTCTGTCATTTCATGCATTTGCTAATTTAGACTTCAGCTTCCCCAGTCTGTACAATGTAATGTTATTAGCTCAAATGCTGAGTTTTCAGGTGGGGAACTGAAGAAACACCCAAGTCCTGCAAAGCCACCACCACAGAAAACATGGTGGGATTCTAGGGCTCTTGTTTTAAAGATGTGCATGGCAAGAACAGATTTCCTCACAACAAAAACTAAAGCTATTGTTGTTGTCAGGCTTACAAATGCAGCCTGTAATGTGAGTCAAGCTATGACCTTTCAGGATGATGCAAAATCAGCAGTAATAAATCAAATGGTGACTTTGCTGACATGTCTGTAACTTTAGTGATTAAACCAACAAATAAACAATTTCTGCTTGGAAATACAGGAAAGAGGAGTGTGGGATTCTCCTCCTGCTCTGCCCTCTTATAGCTGAACTCCGGATGCAGTTTTGGTCCTACCAATTCTCACAGGAAATGTGAAAAATGCCTGGGCAAAGGCTGAGGATTAAAGTCAATAGCAGACCCACCCATAATACATCATTAAAGAAAGAGAAGCTAAGGAAGGCAAGAAGAAATATTCTCCTATTTATACAAAAAGTTTGTTCCTTTTAACAGCTGCCCCATGACAGATCCCATCTTCTCTCCATTCTGTCCTTCTGTGACGTACTCCTAGAGCAAATGATACGCATTTTCCCCTAAAGAAGCGCTAATTTTACCAGCATAGATAAATCTAGCTCACACATCAATCCACTGCCTTCCTCTCTTTGTATCTTCTGCTAGACCCTTCCCTCTCCTCCATCCGCACAAAATGTACCGCACTCAGGTGGAGCACCAGAGCCTCTTCACACAACTGTCCTGGCATATCTGCGCATAAAGTGCGTTGTGGCCAGCATAAAACTAGAGTAACTTGCCAGTGACTACAAAAGCAGAATCTGCCCAAAGCTCCAAAATCGGCAACTGTACACACAGTTCTTTGAACTGACTTTTTCTAAACTAGAAAATAAGTTTTTCCCTTGAGCTATTAGTGGCATAGACATCGATACTCAGAATGCAGATTTCCAGAGCCCAACAAAAAGAAAACTGCGAGTGTATCCAATTTGATGAGCTGCCCAGAATGTAACATCTAACGCTGGTATACAGAGGAAATACGGCATCGTAGCTGCCAAGTACGTGATCTTGCTACTAGACTATCAACAGGATTTGGACTTCGGGACTTCTTTACACTACTCCATAGCCATTCAAAAATTGGTTTTCTTCCTGTATAATATTAAGGAAAGGATACAGACCATTGCTTTTATATTACTTGCACATATCTCAAGCAATTTGTCATCTCTTTGTCCTGCACAGATACCAAGGCATAACAAACAGAACAATATCAAAGTGTTTCAGTGACTAGAAAGCTTTCTTGCTATGCTGTTATTTTGGTTATAACTTAGGTGAACAATTGTAGGGTAGTAAGGTAGTAACATTGGTATTTCACCACAACTGTGTTATGTATTCATAGAACTTACTGAAATCACTGTATGAGAAAATAGTTCGCTTGAATTTTACAGAAGCAAAATTAAAATCAGGTTATTATAAATAATTACATTTGGAATTAATTCTGTTCTTGAGCCATTTAGCTTCACATTTTCAAGTCCTTCTACACAGCCACAAAACAGATGTGTTCATTTTTAAATTAAAAAAAAAAAAAAAGAAAATAGATTCTTGGGAATTGAAAGAACACAAAGCAAAAAAAACCCCATCCTGGGAGACCAGAAACAACATTTTGAGTTGAGAAAGCTGTAATCTACCCAACTAGTCAGGCTGATGAGAAGTAAAGATTCTCTCCTCAGGAAACCTCCATTGCTTAGCTTTGCAGCCCTGATGTGGGAATTAGCTATGCTATAACCTCAAACCAAAACACTTCAAGAACTTCCATGGAGGATGGTGTGTAGGGAGCATAGGGAATGGTCATCAAGGTACAGGATCACATCATAAAGCTTCCAAATACATAATTTTTGCTTGCGGGTGAGAAATCTGCTTAAGCAAGTATATCAGTCTAGTTCCTCTGTAGGTACAAATTAAGAATGTTCCTCTCCTTCCTGAGAGCGGTAGAAAAGTTGGGTGACAAAAGAGAAGTAGCACTTAATTACTGCAACAGAGTGAAAGGGAGAAGTAGAAAGCTGGCTGGCTAACCTATACTCCCTGTGATCCTCTGAAACCTTATAGCTACAGCAACTCAAGAGGAAGCCCCAAAATAGAAGAAAATTGATGCTAAGCCTCTAGAGAACTTCCCACAGATAGACAGGCCCTGACCAGAAAAAGGGAAGTGCTAAGACCTGTCAACAGCCAAGGAAATGAACTGAAGCTCCCAGGAGGAATGTAAGCTGCTCAAAACTAATGACAATACCTCTGATGGGAAACCTCCCCAACTGGGGTATCCTTGATCCATTGCTCCTAAAGCCTCAAACAGGAAGCCAGTCTCTTTACAGCTGTCTTTCCGGGCTCTCTTCCAGGTTCCTCTTCTTCTGGCACTTCTGCTTGTCTTCTGCCCTTTCCTATCTCCTACCTAGAATGGAAACAGAGGAGGAAAAGAAAATACTAGCATGGTAGGACAAGAGAATTACTGGACCTTCATTACAACAGAGATTTGGGGCAATGGGCAATGATTTCAAAGGACTTCAGTTTTTGCTCTTCTCTCATAACTGAAGTTTTGTGCTTTTTTTTGTGAAATGTTTAACTGGGGAAAACAGCCAATGACTACACTGTGAAAGTTTAGTGAAACACAAAAATGTCACTAACACCGCTATATACTCCAACAAATTACAGTTCATGGCAACTTATTTACACCTCGTACCTGGTTCACAAACAGTTCTCTGTATTTCACTCAGGAACTGGACAAAGAAAAGGAGAAAAACCTCTGGAGTACATTTATAATATATGGTCAGAACTAATCAAGAAATGTTTGTTAATTAAGAAAATTAAAAAAAAACCAAGTCCAATAATTACTTGCTTCTTGCTTTTTAATTTTTCTGTTCCATTACCAAAGTCAATGCACACCTTCATTTTGCAAATGAATCCAAAGCTTTAATTCTAGGGGACAGAAACTTTAAATGGCAGTGCAGGCCTTGGAGAACACAACCGACGTTATTTCCAGCCACTCTCAGACTGGATTGCCTTGATTTCCAACTGCACTAACAAGCCAAGCTTAATGTGGATTTGAATTGCTTTGGGAGTAGCATGCACTTACTGTGAAACAAATGGTTAAGCTTCTAGCAGTCAGATTGGTAACAAATAAGACAAGCCTCAAAACCAGAAACTCATTTTTAAAAAGTGCACTCAACTAACTTTCTTTTTCTGTATTTCTTTTCCACAAGAATAACAAAGCTCTTTTGTGACTCCTCACTATTTTAGCTGATTTGTTACACAAAACCTAATGCTCATCCTGGTAAGCATATTTTCCAGAACATACATGCAAGAAAGAGCAAAGCTGAAACAGCAAACATTTAAAAGTTAGCAACAGATTTATTTAATCCTCTTTTACACATATAAAGTTTTAAAAATACATGCTTAATATAAGATTGTCTTTACATTTGAAATCAGACTCCTTTTAGAATTCTGAAACACAGTTTAAGACATCATCAAAGTCTGGATTAGAGCATCCAAAGTTGGGCATCCAAGAATTGAGGCAAATGAATTTCACTAACCACTTCTGAACTCCTTGTCCAAACTAATTAAATTACAAGGCATTACCAGACAATGCGAGAGGTGAGATATACCTGTATCATCTCTAATACTTGTACTATTCTATTGCCTAGCTGATGCAATCAAGATTGGTCTTCCTGTACCAGGCACTTCCTCAGCAAAAGAGACTCTACCAAAGCAAGCTCAGACAATGGATGGGAAGCAGAGATGATGTGACTTTCTTTGGCTTCACTGGAGGTCTGTGGTACAGCCCATGTGTTCTGCCTCATTCCATCTTCCCATGTCTATGATTATTATGGAGAGGACAACGTTGCTTTAAATAAGCAGTGTTTTTAAAAATCACAATAATTAATTACATTAATCTCCAAACTGTGAAAGTTGCAACATACCGTTTTGGCTTAGAAAATTTCCAAAGCCACAATCACCTACTACTATAGCAACAAAATAATTTAAAACCAGTAATTTGGTCATAGTCTGAAACAACATTCTGCTGGTTGATATGACTGCCAGACCCCTCCTGACACTCAAGTGACATTTAAATCACATTCTTTTCCAGTATCTCAGATCAACAGGTATGTTCTTATTCTCTGTTCCTAGCTGATTTTTAAGCATTGGGTATCTTGATGTTATCTATTAGAATTGCTTAATGACATTTCCAAATACTAACAACAGGAAGCTAAATTAAATCACAGATACTATCATTGTTGGAAATGAAAACGGAATACCTCCAGCAACAGGGAATTGCTGCACACACACCAGTTGACTTGCGCCCTGTTTCTCCCTTGCAAATCAGAGTGTGGTTACAAAGAAGCCTATCTTAAGTTTGTAATATTTGATGGCTAAACACTACTGAATTCCTATTCAACAAAATATAGTTAGCAAGTAATTGAAATGTCTTACCCCTGGATTTCTGAGAGCACTAGTCATATAAGCATATCAGGCAGCTGGTAAGAATGATTGCTACATACATACATACATACATCAGTGGCTGCCCTGCAGGCCTCATGGGGCAGAAAACGTATAGCTCACTCATTCCTATCTACTGCCCTAGAGAAAATCACAAATAGTGTCTAACTGCATGCAAGAGACATACAATAGTAAATATTTTAATTAGGGGAAAATTGTCTTTATATCTGTGTGACCAAATAATTGTAATGTTATTACATTTATACCATCTATCATCTCAAAGCATTCCCAACTTAGTACCAATAACAATATACAACTATTGCATTAATAGCCATTGGGTGGAACTTGAGTGTTTTTCATTAAAAGCATGCATGATTCCTGCACAAGCATAATTTAGAAAATGAAGGATCCAAAGGAAGCTGAACAATTTTAGGAAGGTACAATGAAATAAATTTAAGAAAAAAAAGAAAGAAAAGAAATTATTAGAAAGAAAACAAAAAGAGATACAGAACCTTTTTTAAGGACTTTGGTTTAGTGTGTCATCTGAAAAATAACTTTAATTACGTGGTTCTTAATAGTGCCAAAGTTTGACATGGATTGACATAATTGGAAGAAAGACCATTACCTATGGCAGTCACTGACACCACCTCCCTGAATACATGGACTTTGAGTTTTCCTTTAAAGTGCAATCACAATAGCACTGTCTGCTGAGTGAGAACCCATACAATGAAAGCACAACCAAAAGGACATACCTAGTCCCTGCTGCACTGATTTCTATAGACTTCCAAAACTGCTACTATTTAAACAAAAGGACAGCGACCCTTTGCTCATGATGACAATAAATAAACGCAACACTTTTATAGCCTGTCCATGAGTACTATGAGTAAATGACCTAAAGAGACATCTGACTTGTCACATTCCTTTTATGACATGAATTCCTGACATTACTTTTCACAACAGTTGAAGAGCCAGCTCCTGCAGTGACATTACTGGGGGTTTTGTCCAAGAAAGAACTGCAGGTGCAGCAGCTGCCCACTCCCCATACCATGCCTACCTGCTCCAAACCACTGCTCCTGCTGGCTTTGGAGACACTCTGTCAAGAAGCAAACTTTACTCTGGTTCCTCCTATTTTAACCATGTATTTAGATAGCATTATCTTTGAAAAGTGTCAGTGGCAGGAAAGGAAACACTGAAATCTAGCAAGAATCTGCTGTGGTGCAAAGACACACTAGTGAGAGCAGCCAGGGAGATTCAGTAAAACTGCCCGGTAGTATGAAAACACATTTCTTTTGTTTGCATTACTTCCAAAATAATAATGGAAAGTTATGCTCAGACCTTTTCCTTCCCCCCTTGTCCCCCTCCCTCCACTGATCAGGAGTGAATTAAGAATGCTTTTATAACAACAGAATCTCTACTAAGGTCTAATTACAATTATTTCATTCATAAAGAGCTTGCAATAGAAATGTGGATCTCCTGTTTTAAATAAACTTCAATATTGGTGATTTCAACAATTTAAAAGGGTAAAACATAGGCAATGTGGTTACTCATAATGGCAAGGCTGCCTTAGATAATTAAAATCTCTCATCCCCTTCTTCCTCACAAAAAAAGACCCAAAACAAAACAAAACAAAGCTGCAAGTATTAAAAGAAAAACCAACAGTCCCTGTTTAGGAAACAGGCAATTCAAACAAGAGTTGCTGGTGATGTCATTTCATTTATACATTGCCTGAGTCACAGGTTCCTGAGGAAGTGGTAACACCTACAGAATTACTGTGTAAAAGTCAGACTTTGAAGCATGAAATGAAAATAAAGACACTTAAAGACAAAACAAAACCCCCAAGCAAAATCATACCTACTTTACAAATTTCCTCTCCTCTTACACTAATTTGAAAGCAGTCTGTCACTAGAAATTCATTTGCTTGTTCACCACATCCCTCCCTTACCAGTGAGGCACCAAGCACTGGGAGTGGGGTGGAGATATTCATGGGGAGAGAAAAAAGAGGTGTGGGGGGAGAAGGACACCAATTTACTAGCTGTCAAAAACTAGAGATCAAATGCATTCAGAGTAGGCCAGACTTGGAACCTCCACAGCCCTCGCCTTCCTTCCAAGCCTATTGACCTGATGTGGAAATAATTTTAGCAGCATTTCTTTGCACAGTTTTAGCCCATACTGATTTGATTTAGGAAATAAAATCATTCCAGAAATGAGATGCCAGCTTGCATTTCAAATACACCAGACTCCTGCAGCACTGCCTCAAAGGGATGCATCAACTGCAGTTTCTTAAAAGGGTGCATACATTAGACCAAAAGAGAAATGGAGGAAAACACTACTGACCTTCTCCATAAGAATGAAACCAGAATAATGTCTCTCCTTCCTTATTTATGTAGTATATAATAATATCTCACTAACAAATCAAACAACGAATCATTCTGCTGAGATCTTATAAAAATCAAATGTCCTGGTGCCAAAAAGCAAACTGACGTTATGCACGAGCCTAAATTTTTGGATGCTCAAAGACTACTGAAGCAGCAATTCACAGCCAAAGAACATAAGAACAGAAAGTAACTGTGTGGGAAAGGAGAGAAGTTACAAAGAATAATTTTTTTTTGTAATTGTGCTTTTGATTTGCAGCAGTACAAAACTATAACTATGCTTCTGTCTTTTCCTGTTAGCTTACTAAAATATTTTGTTAAGAAGTAATTTGAAATTTTAGCCTTTAAAATGCAATGCACGTGTGCCTGTGACCTTCAGCTCTAGAGGCAAAGTCCATTGTACTTTATATCAATGTCCTATATAAACATCTATTCAAAGAACAAGAGGAAACAGGCATTTAAACTGCTATAGTAGATGGAAAGACAGCATGTACTCCATGCCCGCCAGGAAACACAACACATTTGTTTTTAGAACTCCTGACTGCCTCTTTTTATCCACAAGCCCGAGGAAGCGCCTGCAAGAAGC